GGAATTGGAGTGGACCTTGTACGAAAAGATGGCATTTAATTCCATGCTAAACAATGCGAAATTTTACATTTTGATAGTACTGTCGATCTTTCATACCTGTATTAAAATTTTTTTGCAAATAAAACTAGTTACACTTATATAGCGTTCTAGTTTTTAAATTTCGAGTTAAGGAAGTTTGGCTGTATTTGTATTGCTTTCAAAGTAAAGAAAAGATAAATTCTACAAGGTAAAACTTCGGAGTTTTGTATCAGCTAAATAAGTCATTAAAAATTCAGCATTTAAGTTATGCAGACCGGGGGCCAGTAAGGAGGTAGAAAATTCATATTTTTCGTACAATTTAAGTAAAATTTTGACATCAATATTTAAGTCCACCCTTAAAAAAAGAACTTGCACATATTTATTTTAATAGCTTGGGCCATTTGTCGAACTGCTTCTTTATTTTTGATTTGGCTTCGTCTTTCGCTCATCGAATAAGACCGCGACTTCAGACTCGTTTACATATAGACGACATATGTATGTATATATGCGATATATAGCGTATCTGCCCCTCTGCACAATTCCATCCTTCCCTCTTTTCCTTCTCCTTTTTGGCTGTCTCCCTTTAGCTGACTACATTAATATTTATTTATGTATGTCCCTGTGTGTATGTATTTATGTACAACTGCGTAACAACAATAATAGCAGCCGACCTATGCATAAAACACAACAACTACAGCATCCATTTCATCACTAATAACAACAAAAACTTCAGCTTGACAACACGCAAAATAAAGAAAGGGAATAAAATAAAGAAAATCGTAAAAGGAAACAAAAGACGAAAAACTTTCAGTTGTGTGTGTGCGTTCACACTCTCAGGCAAGAAGAGAAGATGCAAGCAAAATATAGAGAAACAAATGAGACAGACAAAACACCCCCACCGCCCCAAATACAGTCTAACTTCGCCAAATGGATTTTTAAAATAAACAATATACATATATCTTTTCTAATGAATTTCATAATTTTGAATAGTGAAATAATATAAAAAAGGAATATACATACAGTCAGCACAAAATTTATTCGGACACTGTCTATTATCAAGTTTAACAGCTTATTTGCAGGAATTTTCGTAATTTTAGCAGGTTTTTTTGTACGTATCATAGAAACAGTGATTTTCAGAAGACATTTCACAAACAAAAATTTAATTTTTTAAATTAGCCTTAAAAATATTGAAAGAAAAGCAAAAAAATTGCTAAAATGTTGCACAAAAATTATTCGTACATTTCTCATATATTGTGTTTATTTCTGAACTCAACGGTAATCGGTGATTCTTTTTAAAGTAGTTTAGTTGAAATTACTTCGGAGTAATTTTCTGCATGCTTTTTTTTTGTTTATTGTTAGTTTTTATGTGTTTTTTTGATGCGATTGGTCAAAATGGAAGGAGTTCAAGATTTGTCACTAGATTTTCGAAAATCTATCTTAAATTAATTTTTGGAAAATCGTAGTTATTATGAAATCGGTCGTATTATTGGAAAATCACCTTCCACAATACATAGTATAATCAAAAAATACTTAAAAACGGAATAATGAGCTTCAAATCACAAGAAAGCTTGAAGGTCTAAGATTCTGTATTCACGTGAGGGACTGAAATTTATGTTTATAGTCCTGAAAAATCCGAAAACAACATCTACAACAATTCAAAAGAATGTAGAGCAAGCGAAAATAAAAGAAGTTTGGGCCCAAACCGTCCGAAACTACCTGTACAAGGCTGGTTTACATGGCAGAGTTGCTCGTCGAAAGCAATTAATTTCTGCCATCAACAAAAAAAAGCGTTTGGAGTTCGGAAAACGGCATATAACCACCCTGATTCGTTTTGGGAGAACGTAGTTTTTAGCGACGAATCCAAATTTTATATATTTGGACACTATGGGCCCTCGAAAGTGTGGAGGAAACCAAATGAAGCCATGAATGAGAAAAACTTAATTCCAACTGTTTAGCATGGTGGCGGGAATGTAATGATTTGGGGGTGTGTATCGGCAGGAGAAGTTGGTTAAATGGTCTTTATTGACGACAAAATTAACAAGAATATGTACAAAAACATTTTAAGCGAAAATTTGATTCCAAGTGATATAAAACTTGGTCTAGATCCGAAGACATTGTTGTTTCAACAAGACAACACTCTTCGTCTTTGGTGCAAGAGTGGCTTTTATATCACTGCAAGCAGCTGAAAACACCTTTCCAGTCACCTGATTTAAATCCCATAGAACATGTGTGAGATATTCTTGAGAAAAGGATTCGGAAGCACGTCATTTCGTCCAGGGAGTCCTTAAAAACTTCATTGATGGCTGAATGGGGTCAAATTAGCGCTAATGAGACAAGCAACTTGGTAAAAAGCATGGGTCGACGCTTACAAGCTGTCATTGATGTTAGTGGAGGACCCACCAAATATTAAAAATATTAAAACATCAAGAAATATGTTTTTTTTTTAATATTATATGAAGTGTACGAATAATTTCTGTGCGTAAAATTGTGACTTTTCAAGTTCATTTAAGAAAATATCTCATTTTACTGTTGAAAGTACCTTATTTTTTTGTTAAAATATATTCTAAGAATGTTAGCCTTTACGATGAAATATAAATTGTTTGGTTTCGTTACGTTTTTGTTGAGTTATTAATGAATCAAATTGAAAATCACGGGTGTCCGAATAAATATTGTGTTGACTGTATGTATTTACAATAGTACATAGTTGGCGAAATAGTACAAATTTTCACATAATCGATGCTAAATTTTGTTTCAATCTTTAATTACTTATAATTTTTAGCCTACAGTTTTTAAAAACTATTAAATATTTATTTTAGTCCAAATTAAAGCAACCTTGTTCAACAATGATAATACAATACAAACTGATTCCTAAAGCTCTTTGCTATTTGAGGACATGATATTTAAAAAATGTTAATTTGTTTAGTTCGACTGTATATACCCCGCTACCTACTTATTAACTCGCTACTTCCCCAACTTCCAATCAATTTAATACGTGCGGCGAGAAAATTTCTTAATGTTATTCCATTGTCTTTGGAACAGATTATTAGTCTTAATTGATTGGCGCGTCGGTTTATCGAAATTATTAATAGTTTCCAACACAACAAAAATATTGATTAGTTTGATTGGTTCAGAAATTATTTCGATACGTTTGGAAAATATTCGTTTCATTCACTAATTGAGCTAGTAAAATTTAATGAAAATCGAGTAAGTGTTATATCTATCATAATATAATTACCGATAAATTCTTAAGTTTGGAAATAATATAAAACTTAAACCTAGTTCTTCATACTAAAACTCACTTTTATTTTATAATATAAATTACAAGGAAAGAGAGTCAGCTGTGCATAGGTTTTTGCCTGCTATAATAACACGTAAATCTGTGCCAATAGCCCGAAGACTGCAGTTGGGGCAGTTTTTCTTCGTCCTCAAATGGACGCGGATGCACTTTTCCCCAAATAGGTGGCCGCATTTTAAAGAAACTACGCGATGGCTTCTATCCGACCCATAGTGGCACCAGCAAATAGAGCATTTGTTCATTTCGGATATCTTATTCAATTTTTCCGTTAGCTTGCGTTTTTCTATGTCGACGTTGGGCTTTATTATCATGTCCTGCAACTCTATCTTTTCGCGCAGCTCCTCGGTTTTCCTCATCTCCTCATGCAGTTGCTTACGCAGTCCGAGCATTTGGGTGACGTCCTGGACAAGCTGCTCCTTTCGTCTATTGCGTGTTTTCTCCGCTTGGATCTCTCTGATAAGATCCTTCTTAAGCATCCTCGAGATCGACTTCCTATTCATTCTGGTTAATATAATTAAAATGTCTCTATGTTTTGGCCGATAAGTTCTACTACAGAAAGAAAAAGTTTTAATTTGACAGTTACTTTTATATTTGACAGCACTCATTTTACATCCCGTCTGACAAGTAAAGATTTGTGTGGACCCAATGAACTATAATTTTAAAAATATACTGATAAAATATAATAATAATAATAATAAAAAAATTTGATTTAATTTCAGTTGTGTCAAATAATATTTTGTGATAAAAATCCATATGATCAAAAAAAACTTTGAATCGATATAAAATTAACTTTTTCTTTAAATCTTCTTGAAACATTTGAAACTTTTTGAATACTTGTCAAAAGAAGAGACACATTACATTTACACTTTTTTTGTGTATACAATGGAGAGTATGATAAAAAAAAACTAGTTAGGGAGCTCCTGGCGGAAAAGAAACTGAGTGCACAAACGGACAAACAGTTGACGGAGCTGCTAAAGGACAACCAAAATGTGGATATCAATAAACTTTGGGAAGAGAGCGACGCTCTTCTCAGTCAATGGCAATTGGAGGCGAACAAAAATGAAGATTTGCGGAAAAGAATCGTGGAGCAGGACTTGTCCAAGCAAACAATAATCAACAACGAGATGCTGAAGTTGAACAAAAAGCTGGATGAGATATCCGAAGAAAACAGCTGCTGTATATGTTTCGATCATTGGGAGGCGGGCGGCGACCATTGTCTGGTTTCGCTAAAATGTGGTCACCTGTTTGGGAAGAAGTGCATCCGCACCTACTTACAGATGGCAGATCACTGCCCAAACTGCAGGGAGTTTGCTTCTGCAACCGATCTACGTAACGTTTTTCAAACAACCCTACAAGCACGGAAACTTCCCAACACAGCCGATAACTAATCTGCGTGTCTTTGTTATTATAAAATCATCAAAAATATTCGCGGGACCGCAGAAGATCCTAGAAGACAATATCAAGCTAAGCTCATTTTTATCTGTTCCCCTTTTTATAATTCAAGCAACGATTTGATTATAATTAAATTCATTTCTGAAAATGTTTGAGTTTGAGAAATAAAATCACAATATCTATAAAATTAAAATTAAGTATATACTAATCCTTAATCGCCAAAACATTAATGACGTAATGTATAATAGACAGCCCCATATCACCCATTCACCAATCTTTTAAAAGAAAAAGGTAATTTTTATGAATTCATACTTTTCTATATTCTAACTAATGCAGAGTTTTTGTATAAATTCTTTAGCTTATATACTAAAATTCTTTTAGAAAACGATTAAGAAGGACATGGCTAAGTTTACTCGACTCTGAAACGCTTCTACAAATAATGTAATAATTTTTTTAATGCATCGTTTTTTCGTGTATTTGAATAAAAATGTAATTTAGCTTAGGATATAAGAAAATGGAAAGTATCTTGAAAGCTAATGAGATTTTAAATTATCATAAAACATTTGGCGACGCCCAATATCATATGTATACTAGTAGGAACTGCTTTTTAAATACTGATATAAATTCTTTTCTGATTCATATAATTTAAAGCGAGTACTTATTCAAAAGACCTACGAGAGAAAAATATCAATATAAAATATCAAGATGCAAATGCTATATATATTTTATATAAAGAGACTCTTAGGTTTTTCAATAAAAAAAGTATTGGGAATTAAAAGGAACTATTTTTTTTTTGCGCTATTTGGTATTATTTAAGGTTCACAGCATCGTTTTGCCTGAACCGTCTCTCTTTTTGACCGGGCCGACAGTTCCTTCTTTTCCCCTTGGTTTTTTTCACGACCGCTGGGATCGCCTCCTTTGGCAAGGTTTCCTCGGCCTGGTCGAAACTCTCCTCCAGCGGTTGATAGGGTATTTCCAGGTATTTCTTTCCATGGCTCGTCTCCTTAATCTTTTCCCTTTCCGAGCTACTGCTCAAATGAGAATTGGCAGAGCCGTACATACTAATGGAGCTGCCGGCACTTTCGGCTGTGTGAAAGGAATCATTCATGGAATCGTCGCGTCTTGGATTTTTCGGCCGTGGCGTCTTGCGTGGCCTGAAAAATTCGGGGTCTGTGATGAGGGGAAAGGAATGGCGACCGTTCCTTATGATATGGATGGGTCCTTGTGGACGACTGATTTCGGGAAGAACGGGCAGCGAATCCTCCGCCATGGACATCATGCCAAAGTGTCGCATCATGGCGACGGCCTCCAGTTCCGCAGTGCTGTTGTCGTCCCAGTCGGCCATGGTGGCGTGCTCGCCCAGCGGCCTTGTGCCCGCTATTTTCTGGATTTTTTCCATCATTTGCAGGCAATCGCGAATTTCCCGGCCCTTTCCGCCTGAATTACCGTGCAGTTTTTCTAGCTCGGAATTCCGCTTTTCCCGGTTCCTCAGATATTCGTAGGTGCTCTCTGGACGCGGGCTGAACTCTTGCTTCTTCTTAGCCTCGTAGGCCAGCTGGCCGTGAATGTGATTAAAGTCCGGATCCATGTCCACCAGGTCGTCCTCGAAACGTGAATTGGGAACCCACGCCATGATCGTACTTATTCTTGAAGCGAAATTTCATTTTTAATCTGTTTTATGCTCCTTCGCTACAGACCTAACCTCAAACTCACCTTTAAACTCCCTGACCTTTATACACAAACAATTTAACAGTAAAACTTCACAGATTTTTGTGCAATATTTTTTAAAGCTAATTGTAATGTGACCATACGCCTTAACGTACGATAATCGCGTTAGGTTCCTTTTGGGCAGCTCGTGCTGTGGTGTGTTTTGTGCACCGGTGTGGTGAATAATATTGCGCCAAAAAGTCAAACAAAAGGGAAAAGTGGAATGGGGAAGCGGGGGGCCAGCCAGCAAGTCATTAAACAAACAAAGGGTTAAGGCTCCGCTGGTCCAGATATATTACCCTAAATTAACACACCAATATCTCAACTCACCAGCGGCGTCTTTTCCGGCTCCGCGTTTTGCTTTTGTGGCTACGTCTACGTGAATTCGGAGCCCCCGTTTTCACTTGCTAACTCTTTCTGTTCACTGGAACTGGGAACACTTGTACATTGCGAACGTGCCTTTAATTGCAGTCAGGAAGTAATTTAAATGCGAAAAATCTGCAAACGCTGCTAAAAATTTACTTTGCCTCAGAGACAGTGTGACCGCGCCGATAACGTTACAAAATACCGTCCGGCCTAAAAAAAATACCATTATATATAAAGGTTTGGTTTTAAGAAATACCATTTATATACCATTAATTTACAAAATGAATTTACCGTACATTCTTAACCAAAAAAAAATAATTATAAATTTATATCTTTAATTTATGTGAAAATTGTGCATATTCTATTTGAGTAGTGTCAAAATGTATTTTGTAAAATTTTTCTAAGCCTCTTTGATTGCTTCTTATTCATAATTTTATATTCAGACTTTTTTTTTATTGTCGAAAATAGTATTGTCCACAGTTGCCATGGTTTTATGATGAAAAAAGTAGTAAAAATCTGGTTTTCAAGAATTTAACAGATTAGAGTTGAATTGCAAAAATATCTTTAAGTTCGATTTGGAGAACAGCTGGCAAGCAGACTTTTAAAATTCATTTACAAGTATCAAATAAATACGTTTTACTTAGTTTAGACTTAAATACCATAAAATATTTAAAATACCACAAATTTTGGAAGAAATATATATAATAGTGTAGATTAGGATTTCGGAAAACGCTGCCAATTCGAAAATGTAAAGTGATATGATTTAAATTATTCAAGGTCAAAACTTGATTTATCACACATGAATTTTAAAGATTTTTTAAATTTAGTTGTTTACAAACTAAAATTATACATTTTTGTATTTAAAATCAATTTAACAAGTGATATTTGTGTAGCTATTTATTTATTATTGGCAACCTGGCTCATGCTGAATTTGTTATAACTTATAATAATTTTTACATACAATTGTACTTACATTAAAAATATATAATATTCAAGTAAAAAATTTCAAGTTTTTCGCGATCCATTTAACTCGTACACTTTACAATATTAAAAAAGCTAACAATATTTCCGTTCTCAAAAACCTACGAAGTAGTTCAAAGATTACAATTTTTTGGACTTTATGTGCCCTGCTTAGAGTACATGTCCTTAATTATCTGCATGCGAGTCATGCGAGTGGCGCACAACCACGAATCCTTAATTTGAAAGGTCTCGAACTGCTTGCGGTCTTCTTTAAAGGGTTTGTAATAAACATCATAAATAATGCGAAGGATGCGCTGCACATTTGCCTGTGTAGGTTTTCGAGGTTGATTCCTAAAGATTTCGTTTTTATTCATCTTTGTGTATTTTCCATCGTCCCACCAATCGGGGAAGTCAGCATCCGTATCGTCAGTTTTAGACTCCTTAACAAACTCCTGGTCTTCTAACTTTGCAGTAGAAATATGATGAACGCCCTTTAATTGAAAGGTTTTTTTAAATATGGTTAGATTTTGAAAAAAATAGCTTTGCCTTACATGCGGCGTACTCCAACTCCAAGTCAAACCCTTCATATCTGGTTTCTCCGCTGGGGATTGTTTTTCCTCGGTGAGCATTTCAACAAGAAATTCCTCCTGCTGATCCTGTTCGGCTAAGGATAGGGCCAACTCATCATCCAACTCGTCCATTTGCTGCTGGGCGATAACTTCTTGCTGTGCATGCTTATCTACGGCCAATTCCAGATTTGTAGGAGCTCCTGGCGGCGGATCTATTGATTGAAACCACCGAAGCTGGCCATTAACGTTGACAGCCTGGAAAAATATAGCGATGAAGTAGGTCAAAACATGTCAAAAATATGTGAATTGCTCTTGTCGAATATGATTACTCAAAGAAGCCTTAATTCCTTACTTACAATAACTTGTTTATTGTTAATGTCTCCCTGGAATATCTGCGGTTTGCAAGTGGATATGGTAATTAGTGGCGGCTGCTCCTTCTGCACTGGTTCGTAGACATAGTCCTCCGTCTGCTCTTCGCCGACGAGGTCCTCCATTAAACTGCTGAACAGGTTCTCTTTTGATTTGGGCAACGCCGGAGGGACCTTGACCTTTGACCGCAGCTGGATGTCCTTGCACTCTAGGTGGTCCTCCATGATCTGAATCTCTACAATCTGATCCTCAACCTTTTGCTCGTTCTGCTCCTGTTCCTTTAGCTTGCGATCCTTCAGATTTTGCTTCTCTAGCAGCTGATCCTTTAGCTTCTGCTCCTTCAGCATCTGTTCCTCCATTAGCAACTCCTGACGCAACTCCTCCGCGGTTTGAATGGCTTCCTCGATGCCAGAGTGCCGCAGTTCGTGGTGCCGCTTGAGATTGGCCTTCCTATCGGAGCTGTAGGTGCATAATGAGCACTTGTAGGTCCTGTGGCTCTTCTCCGGGTTGTTGTGCACCATTATGTGGCGCTTGAGGTCATATGGTCGATTCGTTTCATACCTGCAGCCCATCACCTGGCACTGTATCTTGGCAGTGCGATCGAGAGGCGGGGTCTCCGGCAGCCGATCCTTGGCCCCTGGATGCTTGGAGGACATATGGCGCTTCAGGTTGGATACCTTGTCGGTGCTGTAGACACAAACTGGACAACCGTACAGCTTAGATTCTATTGGATTCGAGTGTGACTCCTCGTGACGCCACAGGTTGTAGGGCCTGTTTGTCCTGTAAGGACATCTGGCGACGCTACAGCGGTATTTCCAGACTGCGCAGGGTCCATCTGGTTCCTCCGACGACCCCTGATCCTCGCTAAGCATCGCTAGGAAACCATTGATACCACAACCAATAACAGAGATATTACAGTTGCAGCCGAAACCATCGATGATTTTTCGAATAGGAGGACACACACATTTTAGTGGAGTACCAAAGATTGTGTAGTAATTCTATGAACTTATGTTTTTAAGTTAACTAAATTTTTATTTATAAACAACAGATCGTCGCTTTTCGTTCAGAATACCAAAACGCCTAGCTAGAGAGGCCATGTTAGGTCACACTTTCTTATCGATAAATTCGCTAAATTCTCCGTTTTGTCACGGGTTGGTGAAAATGATTTTACAAGTATGAAATATGATAAAGTATTATAATTTGAAACATAATCGTTGACATTATAAACTTTTTGTTCTGTACTTTGTTTTCTTTTTAAATTTATTAAGGTATACATTTTAAATTAAATAATTATTTCTGGGCATCATTTCCAAGCTGAAACATATTCTTTTTTAAGGTTTTATTAAATTTTTATATAAAAAATATCTGAGTTCCATTTCATTGACAAATAAATATGAATATATAAATTAAATAATAATTAATTAAAGATTATTCAGATGAGAGTTTTATTACAAATTTAATTTTATTTTAAAACAAAGTAAATGCTATCGGATCGGTTCCAAGTCACGGATATCGAATCGTACCCAAGCCACTCATCACTCATCAAACAGTGTTGGCAAGGATGCAAATGTGGGTGAACATGTGTTGGTGAGTATGTTTCTTTTATTGCGCGGTTTTTTTAAAAAAGGTAAGGTCAAACAAGTTTTCCAAATCCCAACTAAGTGTGGAACGTTAAATATAATTTTGAAATTCAGAATTCTGAATGAAATTCACAAAAGTATAAGGCTGGAGGACCTTTCCCCAGCCGTATTTTACGCCCCTGCAGCGACCTGCACTTGGCAGAGTTCATTATCCTTGCTGCCGTTTTACTACAGGACACATGCGCCCTGCATCGCCTGCAGCCGGCTTGACGGTTTCATTGAGTTTTTGGGGCCACCATTCAATGGAAATCCATCCCCCCAGCCATTTAAACTCGGTTCAGAGTTCGTCTGGGCTGTAAGATTCGGTTTTTGGGATCGGGAGTCCTTGCAGTTTTTCAGCTGTTTCGCTTTTTCACTCACTCAGTTGCAAGTCGACTGCTGGCCAAGGCGCACGGAAAACTCGGAAAAAAACAGTGCGCAACCGAAAAATATTTTCCAATTATTTAAGAGCACAAACAAAAACACTTTATTTATTTTGGCCAAAGGCAAACGAAAAGCTAGAGGAAAGAAAGTAAATTTCAAATGAAAAAAAAGGGCTTGTCCTTTACTGTGTGTGTGTGTTTGTGTTGGTGTCTAGGCCATTAAAATAATTGCACAAATATATCCGGTTATGCTGCCCCTGTAAACAGCAACAGGGAATATCTAACAAATAAACAACCCCATACAAAAAAACATGTTTTAATTGGTTAGCCAACGCCCCCGCCCACACTCAACCTGCCCAATGCTTTCCTTCACCCACAATTGTGTTTTCCTTTCTAAATTGGCATAAATTCATTTATGGGTCAAACACCCTCTTGAAAGTTACCAAGCCATAGAAAAAATATATAAAAAAGGAACCCCATGCACTTGAGTGTGATTGTGTTGGTTTTTTGTGTTTGTGTGTGTGTGCACTTCCGGTTGCACAGCACGTAACGGAAATATACAGTGGAACCCCCTCCCACCGACTTAAAAATTTTAAATTGCGCAAGGTTATTTTAAGTGAAAGAGAAACCTCAAATATTCGCAATTATTCTTAAGTATTTAAAAATTAACTTGACGGCTAAACATCCATCACCCACTCATTAGTCAGTCAAAACGTGCAATTAAAGCCAAACAACGCAATCATGGAAATTAATCGAAAATATTGAAAACCAATTTCACTGCCAATTGTTTATAATTCAAACGATATGTTTTTCATCTTTTTCGCTCCGTTCCTCAAGCAAACGTAAACAATTAAAGCAATAAGAATCGGGGAAATCTAAAGCAAATGTTGAAATTTAATTAAAATTAGATGCTCTTGCAATTAAAAAATATTAATGTAAAATAATTATTATTTATTATTTGCAAATAATATTGAAAAATGATTTCTTATCTTAATAGAACTTGAAGAAAGTTAAAAATATTAGCATTTTAATTATACTTTTTTTGATTCTTGAACACATTTGGGAATGTACCACCCTTTGCAAGAGTATGTAAAATTGAGGAAAAAGCAAATATTGAAAAATAAAATCCGATTTCGAGAGAGTTTCTGAGTTCACGCTACCAAATATTGCTATTCATTTCGATGATTTCAGTTTTTTTGCCGGAATCAGTTTTCAATTTCGTTTTGATTTTCGACCTCTGACCTCGTTGCTGCACTGGAGGTTCTACGACAGCAAACTCGTTCAATTGCAGCCCTCAAGAGGAAATCTCAACTCAAGGTGAGTGAAGAGGTCCCCTTCTACACAGAAACATTTTTTAGCACACAAAATTTATGTTATAAACATTATTTATTGACAATTATAAGTGTACTTGAAATTTTGTGTGTTTGTTGTCTAAAAACTTGAATAAAATGTGCAAGAAGACAGTCTTCAAACCCATTCATATTGTAATAGTAATTTTTCGGATGTTTTTTAAAAAAAAATTTTAAAAATTGTATTTATCATTAATATGCTAATTTGTATTCCAAATATGTACAGTTTTTATTTGCTAAAAGGGGAATGAGTTGGTTGTTGATAAGGATTATTACTCTGTTGCTGTTCCTCTGTCATTGTTTGCCCAGTGGCCTTTGACCCTTTGTCCAGGTAGGTCCTCATCCCATCATCGTCCTGTCGATGACTCTTCAGTTTCCACTTGTGCCAGTTTCTCGATTACCAAGTTGCTCGATGCAAGGGGTTTTATTGAGGAAGGGGAGAAGGTCGCACTGAACCGATAGACTTTTCATCTATTTTCTGTTTCTGTGCAAGCTGATGTTGTTGCACTCAAAACTGTGTTTAATTAACTTAATTTAAACAAGGAGAGTTCAATAAAATGGAACTGGAAGCGGAAAACTGAAGAGAATATGATTGATTAGTTTATAATGTAGTATAAGCAAGAGTACACGTTTTTGTCAGGATTAATATGATTGGTATCACCTGGATTTTTCATTTGGCACGAACAAAAAAAAAGATAAACAGGCTATCAAATCATTTCATTAGTTCGCCTTACTTGGTTGTTTTTCCCAATCAAATATTTTGCTTTCCTTTATTGTTAAAAATATTTTAAAATAGAATACAAATAGATCTGCTAAATATAGTTATTGAAATTCGTAAAATAAAAAAGAATAAGGAGTGTGAAAACACTTTAGAAATACAACGAGGAATTATGTTCTTAATAAAAACAATAAAGATTATATGTTTATCTAAGAAATAATCAAGAACAAATCTTCGACGCCCCATAAAATGAGTAGACAATAACCTGATGGAATAAGTTTTGGAAGAAATGTATGTATATTGCCAAAGAAAAGCAATGTGAAGATAAAATATTATTTTGTTGTATCAGAATTCCTTTGTTTGAAACTTACATATTAATAGTATTCTAAAGACTTTGAGGAAAGACTTGTGTTATGTATGCTTGTTGTCTTTAAAATCGAACCAACTTTCTGTGATCATAACAGTATCATAAAGTAATCCTTAAGAATATGTTTTTTCGCCTTCTTTCGTTTGTCGCGTTTCGTGCGTTACTGTAAAAATTGAACCGTAAAAACGAGTTAACCTACTTTCAGGTTGGCAATGGTGTGTGTTTTCGCGGGCATTAGTATTTGTGTAGGGCGCATACAGTTGCATTTAAGTTGCTCCATGCAAATAAACAAACAAACAGAAACACAAATACGTATGCAAAGGCTAACATATGCAAGAAATTTGATTCATTTGCATGTTGCACCCCCAACAAAAGCTGGCACACTAACACACACAAAGGCGCACACCCCACTGCACACAAGTGCAACTACAATCCTCGCAGAAATACTGTGGAGGTCACAATAATAGCTGAGCACGGGGTCCTAAAGCCAGATACTAGCTGAATTGTTAACAATTCAACCAATCTATAATTATACGATTATTTTATATAATGTTAGAACTTTATTACGCATAACATTACTTGGTTAATTTAATACAATTTATTTAATGACTCGGTAGACCGATTTCTGATTAATTCGTGGAGTGTGTTGGGTAATTTGATATCCCATTTTTGTTACAAATTTATTTCAGATGTAAACTCTCCGAATTCTTAAACCTACATTGGGTTAAAACATGTGTAAAATATTTTTAATTTGTGTTACTACTTTTATTTTGGCCACATTTGTGTGAAACATAGGGGAGGTGTAGGGCGGTGGACAGTTAAACAGCTTTTAAGCACAAACAAAGCCCACAAACGAAAGGGGTAAAAGGGGGGGGGCAGAAGGGGTGGCTTGGGGTCACCGCAGGCGAGTGCAGTGCCCTCAATTAGAAGGCGCTCAAGGACAGCGGCGAACAGCTGCAGCAAAAACACGAATGGCAACAACAGCTGCTCGCCAAGTTTGCCTTTAATTGCTGACAACACGGCGTATACGTAATGCCGACCTGCATTTCCACAGGAAAATGTTGTGTTGTGCCTTCCTCACATTGAGTTTTGATTTATATGGCTGCACCCCTGCACTTTGAACTGTTTCTCAAGCAGCTCACGCTTGGCCTTCTCCGAAAAATTGAGGGTGAATGGGGTAAAATGGGTTCCAAGTAGTTGGCGTTGCCTTGGCATCCTCAGCCTCATCTTCAGACTCAAGTTACTGCCACAAACAAAAACAGAATGAAAACAAAGTTAAGATGCTTCGAAAGCGGAGAGGCTTCTCTTGATACCCTAAATAGGTGACTTTTAGAATTGAAAATACAAACCTTTAACATACGTGTATATGAAAACGAATCATATTACAATGAGCTTATAAAGCAGCATTTTTTATAAACGATATTTACAGTCGAACTTTTCTAGCTTTAGTTTTATTAAATAGGTCAATATTCTTATACAAAAGTTGTCAATGTAATTTAGGATTGCTAACATATAATTTTTTTAAAATGTACTTTAAATTATGTGAAAAATGAAATATATGTGTTAAGTGCAAAAGATATCATAAACAAAATGTTATATTAATGCTTTCCAGAATCGACGATTTTAGCCATATTTTGAAGCTAATGAGAAGCAGTGTGAAATGCAAAATATTTTTCCGGGTCGAGAGTGCCGTTTTGGGGAGTATTTGTTAGGTTGTTTTGATGTTTTCTTCATTGCTGTGGCTTCTGCAAAAGATGTTGTTGCTATTATTGTTGCTGGTCGTCCTCGACGTTGTCTTTGCCTGCGGAATTTCCCAAGGACACGCACTGTGTGTGTGTGTGGAGCCACAAGTCGTTGGCGTTTGTTGCCCGCAACAAGGACACTCGAGACATGCATGCCAGATTTATGCCACCCACTTCCACCCCTCGTCCTGCTCCTGCAGCCTCCGAAGGATCGGCTGCCGGATGTGAGTGCAGCCTTCGCCGGAGGTGAAGCAACAAACCTGAACCTGAATTTCGCCTCGGTCGCCAGCCATCTCTCTCGCTCATCTACACAGAAAAAAATGTCAATTTAAATTTACCTCAGCAATTTTAAATTGTTTAATTTGTCCGTTTTTTGGCTGACAGAAAGGCACGGTTAATCTTTAATTTGAGAAATTGTTTTATATATAGCTTATCCAATCTAAACACACATTAGTGTACAAAAATATTTATATACATTTTTATTTGCGCTGCATTCATTTGAACAATGTTATATACATTTTTGCGTTGTATAAATTTTTAACTTTGCCGATAAGAAACGTTCTAAACATTCTCAATTATTTTTATAAAAACTGCTCTTTGGTTATCAGTCAACTCCTTATTGTTTATATACACAATGTGCAATGTATGTACATTAGGGTGGTCCAAAAACCGTTGTCTCAAAGTTTGAATAAAAATTACTCATACGGTAGATATTCCAGTTAATTTTTAATTTCATTTCATTTTAAAATGAATTTCTTTTAATTATTGCTATTAAAAGAAACTGTTTTTAATATGAAATATTTATAAGCAAATATATTATTATGAGTATTTTCGTTTTTTTTTAATGGAATTTTATATACATTATTATTTTAGTTTATTGGCAGGCGACCAGTCCTGATCATTGCCTATAATAATGATGTTTACTCAGATTACAGTCGATTTTTCCACAATTGGCATTGAATTGACTAATCATCACCGTAACTGGTATCGTTGCAGGTATCATTGCAGGTATCGTAGCAGGTATCATTGTAGCTATCATTGTAGCTATCGTTACAAGAATCGTTGCTGGTATCATTGTTGGTATCGTTACAGGAATCGTTACAGGTATCGTTACAGGCATCGTTGAAGGTAGCGTAGCAGCATGTATTCGCCTCTGTCTCCGAGAAAGGTCCATCTCGAATTTCATATGTTCCAAAATCCGGTGTGTGGAAACGATTCACACGCACGACACGATTACGAATGGGTCTCTGATGAACAATGCGATTACGCGGGGGAGGCTGAGTATCCTGGCAACAATCATACATTATGCGTATAACTAAACATAGGATTAGCAGAAAAGTTAAGAAAAATATAAAAAATTTTAGTTCTGCTGACATTATTAATTCCGCTGGACTGAAATGTTTTCAACAAACTAAAGTTTAGGGTTATTTGAGTGCCATTTGCTTCGTCATTTCATATATGTACATACTCTCTCAGCATTCTTTAAAAAATGAAAAAAAACAAGAGCTTTATTGTTCAGAGCCCGCTTTTAAAAGAGAAAACATTGCTTCCTTGTGATAATGTTTCGGAAGAACTAGACAATTTCAAGTCCCGATTTCTTGTTTTTATGGTTATCCAAATTTAAATTGTAAATTTTTGAATAAGAAATATTTATAAACAAAATTATTATTATGAGTATTTTCTTTATTTTTATTGGAATAATGCCAGTTCTCTAGAGATACATTTTACATTATTATTTTAGTTTACTGGCAGGCGAGCAGTCTTGATCATTGCCTATAATAATTATGTTTACTCAGATTTTAGTCGATTTTTCCACAATTGGCATTGAATTGACTAATCATCACCGTAACTGGTATCGATGCAGGTATCGTTGCAGGTATCATTACAGACATCGTTGAAAGTAGCGTCGCAGCATGTATTCGCCTCTGTCTCCGAGAAAGGGCCATCTCCAATTTCATATGTTCCAAAATCCGGTGTGTGGAAACGATACACACGCACGACACGATTACGAATGGGTTTCTGATGAACAATGCGATTACGCGGGGAAGGCTGAGTAGCCTTGCAACAATCATACATTATGCGTATAACAACACATAGGATTAGCAGAAAAGTTGAGAAAAATATTAAAAATTCTATTTCTGCTGACATTATTAGTTCCGCTGCACTGAAATGTTTTCAACATACTGAAGTTTAGGGTTATTTGAGTGCCATTTTCTTCGCCATTTCATATATGTATGTACATACTCTCTCAGCATTGTATAAGAAACGAAAAAAAAACAAGAGCTCTATTGTTCAGAGCCCGCTTTTAAAAGAGAAAACATTGCTTCCTTGTGATAATGTTTCAGAAGAAACATGATATTTTAAGGCTGTTTTCCTGTTTTTATGGTTGGCCAAAAGTTGATTTTAAATTAAAAAATATTAAAAAACAGCATTACCTTTATATTTAAGGATGAGAAATTGGGACAAAATATTTTATTTAGACTTCACAACTTAATATTTTTTGCCAAAAGAATTCTGGCCTTCATTTTTTACCTTTGTAATTGGTAGGGTGTTAGCAACAAATTCTTGTTGCATATCGAATGTCGCAATGAGAGACCTCGTGTTTGTCAACTGCTCTTTGTTTCGGCATTTCCTTGAACATAAACATAATGTACAAAAATAAAAGTATTGCATATTTTTGGGCTTTCATATAATTGGCTCTCCTAATTTTAATGAAACAAAAAAAAACCTAATTAAAAAGAGATTTTTTTATTCTAAAAAGAAATTGCATTCTTCCTTTTTATGAAGTATATAAATTATTTAATTTAAGGATCAAACAAATCGTATTCTATAATATCCTTTTTATTCTCACTGTGTATTCTCGGAGCATTTTATACCCCCAGCACAGACTGTGTGGGTGGATTCATGTTTTGTGGCAGCTTGTTTGGTCATCCATGAAGGCAACAACAAATGCTGCAGAACTTAAACCCCCTTTCACCTTAACCGCCACGTTGTTGTTACTTGCAATCTTGACATTTAATTATCCGCCGTTGGCTGCAGCTTCCACTGAGCCTGTGGTGTGTGTCAAGGTCCTCGGTTTGTTTTTGGCGGCTGCCAGGAAAAACACCTGCTGAGGTGATCTGCCGCCAATGTATTATTCGCGCAGGAAATTCGACAAAATGTTCAATGCGGAACACATTTGGTAGCCTTGCAATATATTCGATTATAGATTTGAAAAAATACAATTTTAGAAGGAATATACCTTTCCCATAACTTCAATTAATTCGTTATTCAATAATTTTAATTATTTTTAATTGATCATTGCTTATAATCGTGATGTTCACCCAGTAAGGGTTTTTAGTCGATTTTTCCACAATTGGCATGGATTTGACTAATCATCACCGTAGCTGGTATCGTTGCAGGTATCATTGTAGGTATCGTAGCTGGTATCATTGTAGGTATCGTTACAGGTATCGTTGTAAGTATCGTTACATGCATCGTTACAGCTATCGTTGTAGGTATCGTCGCAGCATGTATCCGCTCTCTCTGAGAAAGGGTTACCTCCACTTTCATTTGGTGGGTCATCAGTTGACCATGTATTAAAATCCGGAAGGTTAAAATCCGGTAGGTTATCAGTTGACCATATATTAAAATCCGGTAGGTCATCAGTTGGTATTCCAGAATGCTGTGTATGGGATTGATGCACACGGATGACACGATTACGAAAGGGTCGCCGATGAACAACACGAGGACGCGAGGGGGGCGGAGTATTCCCGCACCAATTTTGAGTTATACACAACACTCGTATGACGTAAATCATGACTCCGACATAAATGGCGTACATCAAGTATATAATTGGGTCTGCTGCAGACATTGTATATTCCGCTGAATTGAAATGTTTTCAACATACTGAAGTGTAAGGTTATTTGAGTCGTATTTACTTCGTCATTTCTTTTACTCTCTCAGCATAAACAAAAAAAGATAAGAGCTTTATTGTTCGGTGAACTCTTTCAAAAGAGAAAACTTTGCTTCGTTGTGATAACATTTCGGAAGAACTAACCAATTGTTGCTAATATTTTAGGGCCCGATTTCTTGTTTTTATGGTTATCCAATTACTTTTATAATTAATTTTTTGCCATAAGCACTGTGGACTTTTTATATCATTGTAATTGCTAGTGTGTTAGGGTCTAATAACTTAAACAACCAAAAACGCATAGCAACAAACTCTTTTTGTGTTTCGATTGTCGATTGTTGAGAGATAAAGCACTGCGGAGAGCAGTGTTAAATACATAACACGTGCTTGCCAACTGCTCTTTGTTTCGGTATATCTCTGCAAAAATACCCATATTGCATATTTTTGGGCTCTCACATAATTGGCCATGTGTTGTAGACGAATCTTATTTTAAATGCTATATGGTTGAAGTCGTACTAACAACTTTTAATTCATGGACTTTATTTATTTGCAAAATATCCTTTTTATTCTCACTGTGTATTCTCGGAGCATTTTATACCCCCATCATAGACTGTGTGGGTGGATTCATGTTTTGTGGCAGCTTGTTTGGTCATCCATGAAGGCAACAACAAATGCTGCAGAGCTTAAACCCCCTTTCACCTTAACCGCCACGTTATTGTTACTTGCAATCTTGACATTTAATTATCCGCCGTTGGCTGCAGATTCCACTGAGCCTGTGGTGTGTCAAGGTCCTCGGTTTGTTTTTGGCGGCTGGCAGGAAAAACACCTGCTGAGGTGATCTGCCGCCAAGGTATTATTCGCGCAGGAAATTCGACAAAATGTTCAAGGCGGAATTATCGATTTGGTAGCCTGGCAATATTTTCGATTATAAATGTGGAAATGTAAGCTTATTAATTTTATTATATTTATGGGATATAATGTTATACATTTATTTTGAAGTTAACCTAAAATTGTTTTAGATTAGAAATGTTAAGAATATATTTTTTTCTCCAACTACTAACAAAATGTGTTGTAGCTTACTTGTTAATCTCTTTATTTAATTGTTTTAATATGACTAGCAGCTATACTAACTTACTAACGGCTTGCTATTTTCATCTCCCTTGCAGTTGTCGAAATGGAGCGATGCGAAAGCGGGCGAAGAAGGCGAAGGTAAGGCGTTAATCTTGAAATAAATTCGTTCACATATCAACATTACGTATACGCAACGTTGTTGGCATGAAAATACAATGTGTTGATTTCAATTTAGTACAAGTCATAAAAAAAGCTACCAGGTAATAATCAAATATCTGCTTAAATGTATTTAAAAAAAAAAACGGTAGCGAAAATATTAATTAATAATATAAAACAGTTTTAATTTGGAATGCTATTCAGATCATAATAATCTCTAGTTTTCTAAACTGACTGTCCATTTAACAGATTCGTCACTTACTTAGCTTTTAATGATTCTAACTGAATAATAAATATCGACCTAAGCAGCTGTGATTTCAGCAGGAATTTAAATTGCAGCTGTGTGGGGTTCGAGTTTTCAGGTCAATCGATAGCATTCCGATGGGTCCTGCCTGTGATTAGTATGCCAGCCGTGAAAAGATTATCTGTGGGTGTGTGTGTACATGCTTACATGTGTTAGTGCTGCCTGGTTGTGTGCAAAATTACGGCACTGCCGACGCCATTTTTCCTGCCTTTCAGCATGGCTTACGTGAGCTCGCGACCTACGACAACCTAAAAGAAAGTTGCCTAGGTTAAGTCCTGCGCAGACTCACACCAAGGCACTCAAAGGAATACGTTAATATACGTGTGTGCATGTCCTGAATGTCTGGTGTGTGTGCGAGTGTTGTAGGTGAAATCAATGAAAGTTCAACGCACGTGGAAGGCAAAAAAGCGACTTTGCCTTGTCTGAAACTTTTTGCTAAAGTGAGACCATTTAAAAGTTAATTTACAAGTAGACAAATAGTCTTAATGAAATGAAATCTGATTGCAATAGGTTATAGTCAGATCAGGGGATGGTATTGAAATGATATAAAACCATCATATAAGGTAACAAATCAGCGAGAAATATGCATAATTCTTCAAAAACATCCAATCACTATATATGCGTTCATCTATAAAAAACGATTGCGAAAGTTTAAAGTTCGAATACGAAAATACGGAAATGGCTTTATTATTTCGCTTGGTATTGCTGATCTGGATTATATTTTGGTTAAGTTGTACAGCAAACACTAATAAATTGTTGGCCAAAAGTCCGATTAAATCAACTAGAGCTTTTATTTTCTAATTAAGCCCCTATAAAACAATGACCAACTGTTGGAATATTGTAGTTCGTTGAATTTGTTATAAAATGTCCAATCAATGAAAAATGTAATTCGTTGGCAATTTTTAAAGAAAAAACATGGTGAAAATTATATTATATTTCAATTCGCCTAGTGTTAAAAAGGGTATTAAAAAGTCCTAAGAATGAAAAGTCTTAAAAAAACGGCAGGCACTTTACAAAACTGTAAAAGTCTTTGCGACAGTTCGAATAAAACACAAGTCGAGGGTTTAGCAAATATGGTTGGAATTTTTAGGGCGCATGTGGACAGTGGAGTGGTTTGGTGTTTGTTTGGCTGCCGATGCGATGTCAATGTCATTTGGAATTAAATGCCAAAAAGTGACAAACACATCGAACCACATACAAACACATTGCATTTTAATAAAAAAAAAAGGACTGGCAATAACTGACCCAGATTTTTGATGCCACCCTGCAACCCACCGCATATCGCGTATACGCCGCGTGTTTGTGTTTGCTCTACGTCCTCCCTTTCTTCTTTGGTTTTGGTGTTTGCATTTGCGCTTGTGAATTATTATTTTATTTCCCAGCCATGATAACGATAACGATTACACCCCAAGGCTATTAAAAATCAGAGCAAATATTTTATAATGGCATTTTGATGATTTCCAGGGAGCTGTAACCTTGAACAAAATCCGTCTGTCCGTGTGCATGTGGGTCCTGTTCAAGGTCGAGTTGGGTGGAAAATAACCGGATTATCTCCGTCAGACATATGTGCGGTTTGCAATGAACGCAGTCGATGGATGGAATTTAAGCTCTATTTCGGGACCGTCTGTGTGCAATTATGAGAGTCTGTGGTTAACAAATAAATCTTATTTATAAAAATTAATAAGTTCGAATGTCTAAATATTTAAAAAATCCTATTTAAATAACTTTCTATAGAGATTCCTATTAAGTCTATTAAGCTGTAGGCTCTAATAGTAAAAATTACAATTCTTTAATCTCTTGTTATTCAAATTTATTTTACAAATTTCGATAGTGATAAATGTGTCTATTTATTTATGCAATGTCGTCTTTATAAAAATGTAATCAATCTGATTATTTTATAAATTAATTCAAGCTAATTCAATTAGCTCAATTAGCTAATATCTTCTGATTAAATCAATAATAGGAGTATAGAAAATACCTGTTTTCCATAACTTTTTATCGGAATATATTTTAAACAGAATTGTTCGCTAATTTTCAAAAAAGAATAAGATCAACCATTTTTAATGCCCATTTCCAGTATTTTTAAAAGTTTTTAATATACCATAAACTTTTATTTTAAATTTGTAAACTCCTAAATTATACGTTTTCCGTTTTTGTCTCCTACAATTAGACGACGGAAAAAAGCTGCACTTTGTGAGTCCAGCACGTCGGAAATCGGTGCTGGCCCCTATTCTCAATAAGATCAAAAATGGAGCCGATGCGGCGGACAGTGCCGAGAAGAAACTGGGCAGCGAGAGCAGCGGCAGTGGACACATCGCGGTGCAGATTGAGCCAGCCAGACGGGTCAAGGTGGGTGTACATATGTGGGATCATCCATGATATATTATAACCACCGATGCATGTATCAAACATAACAGCGTCACAGCATCCACGGCATGATGGAGGAGGAGAACACGATCCGGCCGCATCAGGAGATCCGACAGCTAACGCTGGAGGAGAAGAAGTTCCTGCTGGCCGTGGAGAGGGGCGATATGGCCGGCACTCGCAGGATGCTGCAGAAGGCCCAGGATACGGAATATATCAACGTGAACTGCGTGGATCCGTTGGGACGCACTGCCTTGCTGATGGCCATTGACAACGAGAATCTGGAGATGGTGGAGCTGCTGATTAACTACAATGTGGACACAAAGGATGCCCTGCTGCATTCTATCTCTGAGGAATTTGTGGAGGCTGTGGAGGTGCTGCTGGACCACGAAAA